CAAATCTAACTCGTGATTTATCCGACCCTAAGATCCTGACCAAAACACCATGACAAGGAGTTTCTACCGTAACCGATCCGGGCTGTCTGTCTGGAATGCGCGTCGTTGGCGTCGTGACCTCAGGGTTATTGTGCGGCCTCCGAATCTGACGGGCCTGGCTCCGGCACTGCGGTCGCGATGGGGCGGACCGGCACCGGAGCCGACGCCAGCGGTGACGCATGGTCGCCTCTGATGTGATCTGCGGCCGGGGGCCGCCCGTCAGGTGACGAGCCTCCTCCAGGTCTGCCGCCGACTTGGCCTCTCCTTGTGTCAGTAGTGGGCGACTGAGTTGCACCGCCAGGGTTGTGGGAGGAATTTGGTTGCATCCATTGAATATAGGTCGCATGTGTTCTGAACGGTGCACGGTTTGCGGGGGATGAAACTGGATAGGGAAACTATGAAAAACAAACGATCATGCTTAACTGATTCACCTTGCATCGTTTTCGCGAGCCAATCTGGGGTCGTAGACCGATTGCTTAAGAGCTAGATCGGTGCAACTCCGAAGGACGAGTTGACTACATTGACTACATACAATGCGAAAACGCTATATCTGCTCCATACTTCCTAAGCGAAATCAAGGTATGTAGCAAATGGACCCATGTACATTCTTTAACACGCCCGGACCCCAATTCATTGCACGGAACGTGAAAGCACCGACCGGAGCACGCGAATGGCATTGAATTCCATGCGCGTCACTGCAGCCCAACGAGGCATCAGCGGGCCCAACAAGACACAAAGTAGACATTACGAGGAACCGTAGCTGGCCCTCCCTGGAGGACACCTGATAAAGACTCTGTTGAGTTCTCGTGAGGTCAGGCCTCATCCATTGAACATTTTACATGCACCTGGTGCTGATGCATGGAAAAAATCTGAAGTTGTATAGTTACCCCCCCCCCCCCCCTCCCGCTTCCGTATCCCAATATCACGAACAACAACATTATCACGGCCTGGATCGTGCGCTGCGTATTTCCGGTAGTTGGTGTACCACCAGTTCATTTTTTGCTGGCGTATCATGCAGGTCGTTTCCGCGGGGACACCACTGGTAGTGCCTGGGGTCAAGAAAACCACAGTTCCAATCACAATGCAAATGTTATCCATTTAAAGGCCGCCTTAAGTTCACATTTTAGTGGCTGCCGCACAGCCCCGTTAATCTTCGAGCAGGGCCGGTTTCATTTTCTACCCGTCCCATTAGTTTCCTAGCCGGGTGGCCACGGCTGTGAACTGCTCTCGTCCGTCGCGAGCTCGCCGAGCGCAGTCCGCCCACGGACGGGGCTGCGACGGAAGCGCCAGGCCCCCGCGGGACCGTTGGCGGCGGCGGGCGTCCCGCCGGCGGCCAGGCTATTTTGTCACAAGACGGCTGCAAGATAGGCCGACGGCAGTAAACGAAATTACCCGCGGCGTTTGAGGACACTGCAGCGGCCCAAACTGGTGACAGTCGGCGGAACGCCCGTTTGGAGGCAGCGCGTCACACTGCAGCCTGTGGAACATTTAGAGGTAGCCCGTCACACTGCAGCCTGAGCGGCGTTTGGAGGCAGCGCGTCACACTACAGCCTGTGCGGCGTTTGGAGGCAGCGCGTCACACTGCAGCCTGTGGAGCGTTTGGAGGCAGCGCGTCACACTACAGCCTGTGGAGCGTTTGGAGGCAGCGCCTCACGCTGCAGCCTGTGGAGCGTTTGGAGGCAGCGCGTCACACTACAGCCTGTGGAACGTTTGGAGGCAGCGCGTCACACTGCAGCCTGTGGAGCGTTTGGAGGCAGCGCGTCACACTACAGCCTGTGGAGCGTTTGGAGGCAGCGCGTCACACTACAGCCTGTGGAGCGTTTGGAGGCAGCGCGTCACACTGCAGCCTGTGGAGCGTTTGGAGGCAGTGCGTCACATTACAGCCTGTGGAGCGTTTGGAGGCAGCGCGTCACACGGCAGCCTGTGCGGCGTTTGGAGGCAGCGCGTCACACTGCAGCCTATGCGGCATTGCGCGCTTGCCTGAGCTGCGTGCAGCCGGGGGCACACTATGCTAATGCTGAGCAAATGGCAAGGAAATGCAAATGCAAATGCAAATGGCAAGCTGGAGTGATTCAAATGAAGACTTTACAGAGACAAACATAGAGCCATGATTGGATTCCTCGAATACATCCTGTGTTTATCGTATCCTTACCGTGAGTCTGGATTGGCACGGAATTCCCCGCTCGAGCACCCATCTGGAGGTGCCCGTCCCCTGCGAAGAGGCCCTGTGACCACGACCTGACCTGGCCCCGGTCCGGCATCCGGGAAGCCGCCCGGGGTCGGACGCCTCCGCAGCTATTTGCGTACGGGAAATACGGCTCTCGACTAAGCGTTTGATGTCATTGAAATCTGTTTTCCAAATAATTTCACATCATTTCACATTTTTCAGATGCTTAAAAGCTTGCATAACGGTAAGCACCTGAAGAAGCTCGCCGTCGGGAAAAGCCTGTGCACTTGGAGGCTCCGCAACATAAAATCGGGAGAGGCTAGAGACTATCGTGTAACTGTCCTGTCTCGCGTCCATAACTCTACAACATCTCCTAGGCATCGCGAAGCCATATCCGACCACATGAGATTATCAAAGAACAGCAATACGGCTGAGGAGCTCCAAGCCAAATCCGGGTACCTTCATCGATTAAGGCATTCGCGGGTACAGAACGGGAGCATGGCAGCGCGAGACACGCAAGGCGTTGCGTCCGTTTCATGGGCTCAGAGCTAACATCGGGAGCTTATATGGGACTTCGCGGAGCTCCATTGTGGCCAAGGACCTGATTGGAAATCACTCATGGCAGCCTGAGACCACAGGGCCGAAAGGTGCAGGACTTCTGGGCTGTGGGACAAAATGATTTAAGCTTTCCATGGTGAGGCTCGCATGCGTTTTAGTTAGGGAACTGCGTGGGTACTAGGCTATGTGCGCGATACATCCTAAATATTGCATCACTTACACAAGCTAGCTTTGCTTTTAATTTGTCTCCTTTATGTTTGATTTATTGAGTTGTGTTTTTCCTTGCTGTGCAAGTGTGGGAGCATTTCATCGGTAAGCCTTGACTTATTTCCTTCTTTGCGAGTCCACTTAAACTCGGTGATGAGGTTCAAATTAGAGGCATTCGCTTATGAGATTTCATGTGGCCAATCCACCCGCCCGCTATTCCTAATCAGTTGCACACGTCCGTTAGCCAACCGTTCGCATCCCCAGTTCTGTAGTTCCAAATTTTGGAAAAGTCCAGGAATGCGTATATTCAAGCATGCTCTATGCCTTGATGTGGGAATGAAAGTAATTTTGACGGAGATTTTCAAAGAAATATCGCACGATGTTACCGCTTGCGCCACTTTTAGTCAAATTTGTCCCCATTCCCACCACTTTTGCAATTGTAAAGGCAATTTTCAATTTACTTCTTTTGAATGGAGGCAATCGCCTTATGACTCCAGGCAATTTGAAATTCACTTCTCTTATTCGTTTCGATAAAGGTATGTTGCCGAAATAGCAGCGCATCTATATCTCCATTCTCCTGGTTTTTCTCCGAGGTATAAGGCTATTACCACCGTCTTATCCATGTGAATAATGTTCCTCGGAAATGCACTTAACAACTTACGTAACTTTTATGAGGCCTTTATGACTTCAACATGTCAGCAAAGCTCCAGCGTGGCAGCCTTATTTCACCTTGCATTTTTACACGTCGTGAATTCCTAGTTTTAGCCACGTAAATACTCTTCACGAAACTAGGCCTTGACCGATGTAAAGACAGTAAGAGTCTCTTGTGTATGCTATTTAAATCTATGTGCATTTATATTTGTAATATAGCACAAACACTGTATATCCCGGGATGATACTTTCAGGTTTTTTCCTAGCTCATAGTTGTGTAACACGCAGTTTTGCTGAAGTCGCAACTCTGTTAAAGAAAGATTTTGCCTGTAAAGTTCTATGGTCGCTTATGGGCTCTATAAGTTTTTTATTTTTAGACACAGCCCGCTTAACACACCGAAACTACGTCGCCTGGAAGAGACCGGATATCGTAAATGGATGGCCGTCTGGATTACGAGGGGTCGTATAAACTTCAAGTATAAAATATTAATCAATCTAAAGCGAGTTCACAGACAGTAACTCACCCAGCTGATCTAAGGAGGACCCAAAACCGCCAGCATCGCTTTCCCTTGGAGTGCTGGTCGAACTAATCAGCGAAATTGCAAGCCATACTTCGCTGAGAATGTCTTGCGATCGAGGTCGATTAGTGGTCGCTAGTTTCAAGCGTCGGTCGCTGATGGCAGGGCACGTCGCCTCTGCGTTTAGTGGTGTCGGCAATTAATACTGAAACTGCAGCACGACAGCTTGGTTCTAAATCGCGCGGTGTTGCCATAGATCTCGCTTGCATCTGTCCGCACTTCGGCCGCCTCTCGCAGACTATGTTACTCAGTGGTGCTCTGTCCCAGCGGATGTTGTGATGGATGGTGCGGTGCTCGTGGGAGATTAATGACCCGGCTCTAATGAGTGGCGTGATTGGGTGATGTCAGCAGGTCGTCATAATCCCGGCGAACAGTTTCTGATCGGTGGCCTTGGTCTACATCAAGTGTGAGGAGGCCTCGTTTGCTCTATGACCGGGTGGTGGCTGGGCAATTTCTCTCTGTGTTCGTCACATGTTACCACGCACGTCTCTCTGTCAGTCTTGTGCTGAGCATGCCCTTCGTGGCTGCAGAAGGTGTGGAGCCTCGTTGTGACCGGCTCTTGTTCCTTGCAGTTGCATGCGTGAAGCCTTATTGTGACCGTCTCCTGTTCCACGCAGCTGCAGAAGGTGCGCAACCTTGCTGTGACCCGCCCTTGTCCCACGCGGGTGCAGAAGGTGTGCAGCGTTGCTGTGACCCGCTTCTGCCTCAAGTGGGTGCAGAAGGCGTGGAGTCCTATTGTGTCCGGGTCCCACGCGGCTGCGCATGGCATGACCAGCGACGCCACGCTACCCTTTGATTTCTAACATTTATTGTATCACATAGAACAGATAAGAACAGCGCGGGTACACTGTACAGAGCACCTGAGTGTTACGCCACCGAGGCGGGGTCGGTTCGCGCTGGTGGCGACCGGCCGTTCAACTCCTCCAGCCCGATCATCTTCACGTCCGACCACTTCTCCTGCTTAGGCTGCCGGTTGAGGAACTGGCCCTTGAGTAGATTGATGCGCATGGGCCGGGTGGGGCTGCGCTGCGTCTTGGCGGGCACGGCCGGCGGCAGCGGCGGCACCACCAGCGTCACTGTGTGCTCGGTGGGCGAGCCGGGCTCGCGCGTGGGCACGTCCAGCTCGGAGCCCAGCTGGTTGGAGGCCGGCCGGCTGACCAGCCCGCTCACCTGCGACACGTCCGAGGAGAGCGAGCTGCGCCGGCGCTGGTACACCTGGCTGATGACGCTCTCACGCCGGAGCTCGGTGGGGTACGAGTGACGCCGCATGTAGATGTCGTGGTACGGGTCGCGCTGCCAGCACCGGTGGCAGAGCATGCACGACAGGATCGAGCGAAAGGCGTAGCGGAAGTCGCGGTTGAAGTAAGCGTAGATGACAGGATTCAGAGTGGAGTTGAAGTAGCCGATCCAGAAGAGGAGTGCCACCACGATGTCTGGCGTTGTGCAGACGCGCTTCCCGCACAGGCTGACGATGATGTACCAGAGGAAGAAGGGCAGCCAGCAGAAGAGAAAGGCACCCATCAGGATGCCAAGCGTGCGCATAGCCTTGCGCTCCCGACGCAGCTTGTGCATCTGGCGTCGACTGTTGTTGCTGTCGTCGTCGACAGCGTGCGTCTCCGTGCCGCCACCTGCCGACAGAAATCGGAACTGTAAGCCACGCAGCACGCGAGAGGAGCACTCAACGCTTTTGTTGACGTCGAGGAAATCCCATTTCATCTTAGGTGTGTGCCTGAAGGATGGAAAGAGTGTGTGAACCACGCCGGCACAATCTGGGCGCGAGGCAATGGTAAATAAACTCCCGGCTCTCGGAAATTCCACGCCCGCCGGAGAAACCCGGTTTGATCCCAGATGTTACGAAGATGTAAGCGGTTTGAAAAATGCACCGGTGAAATCCTGTGGGAGGCGGCAACGCTGCCGAGGCGATAACGCTCCTGAAAGAACGCGTTACCAACGCGCTCGTGGCACCATTTATTTCACCCAAACCCCTCCCAAGATAGCGGGCTCAGTGGCTACCATTACTGTCTGTCTGTTGTCCCTCAGGCGGCGTCGCTAATCTGGCGCGGACCGGCCGAGCTGCATCAGCAGCGCCGGCGGCTATACGAGCCCGACTGGGCGCGCTACGCTCACAGCGGCGAGCTGTTATCGGTCCGAGCGGCCGACATTAAGTCGTCTCGAGCCGGACCGCCCGGCTGCAGACGCGCTAAGCAGCCAGATTGGCCAATCACGGCCACCTCTTCAGCCACTGACGAGCTTATCGGCGCCCGCTCGGCCCGGCGGCGCACTAACTGGGCCAGCCGAATCCCGCGAGCCGCCGGCTCCGCGCTGGCGCCGGGCCCAGCGCACGCGTCAACACTGCTCCCGTATGGCACGCGGACGGCCGCGCAGCGCCCGGCCAGCAGGTGGAACAAACACATTAATATTGTCCCGGAGATCCGGCGCAACGGCTGGCGGCGCCGCTGATCAGGCTGGATGCTCCCGCGCACTCGCAAAACATGTCAATACGAGCTGCGCCCAGCGCGCCGGCATGTTGACGACTTCGGCCGGCTCCAAACGCGGCGCACCGTCACATCTCGACGCGCGTGGGACGCGCATCCAAATCCGCGGTTCGCCTGATGCCAGGCCGTCGCAGGCCCTACGATTACGCGAGTGAGACTGGACTGCCCACGCGTGAAATCGGGACGAGATGGTGTGACCGGAAGCGTGGTGTGTCACGCCCAGCGGCAAATTGTGGCTCTGTTGTTCACAAGGCACCTTTTCCGTGTTCTGAACGAGTCCGAAATTTGCATCTCTCGCTTTGTTTCCGCTCTGGCGGCGGTGTTGACCTTATTTAGCATGCGTTCTGATCGGGGCCTGGGCGGGACTGGAGCCGATGTGCAGTCTGACCACAAGTGAGCCGCTAGTGGGCAGGATGGGGATGCGCGCGTCCCGACGCGCAGCGGCCGGCCCGACAGGCGGCAGTGGCCGTCTTGGCGCGGCGCCGGCGGTAATCGGCCGGGGTTAATGTCGGCCCAGTCAGGGGTGGCGACGGCACACAATGACCTGCCCCCGACGCCGGCTATGGCGGCCAGGCGACGGGGCCCGCCGACATAGCCCGCCTCCAGAGGTCACTGCGCCAAAGAGCAACAGCGGCTGACACAAAGAGATATTCTGATTCGTTAAACGCCCGTGCGCAGGCACCGAGTGGTCAGACGTAAGTTGGGGGGGGGGGGGGGGGTTTCTAACGACCAACAATGAGCATTTTTCCAGGGTTGCTGTACAACGCGCGTCCTATTACAAGAGCCCATGCTCGATAGGTCAGTTGCGCGCGTGACAAGGCTCCAGCGAATTTCAACCCGCTGTCGACTGATGCGCGTTTTGGTGCCTTCACATATTTCGCAGCGTTGTGTGCTGCACAAGCCATCACATACCGAATGGAAAACCATTCATGTATTCGTATAGGCATCCATATATGCAGGGCTCTGGCCAAAATCAGGTTCCGGGAGAAAATGCGCGGGCCAAATGTGGGCGCTTTACGAACTCTTGCCTGCTTGGGAATGCAAGAGAAGGAAATGGACGGGAATGAGCTCCATCCTCTCGGTTCGTACGGCATCAGTTGTCATCAGTGGCACGCTGTGTAACACCTCGGTCATCCACATGCATTCTGATCCACTTACGTAAGTTTAACATTCAACACCTGCCCCGCGCGGCCACGGTTGTGAGCGAATGCAAATTTGTGCCGACAGCTTTGGTACGTTGGCCCCGTGCGTGTTTTCGCATTTCAGCGTGTAATTTTATCCAGGCTTCGACTCCCGTGCATACGTTCAAAGGCGGGTAATGCACAATGCGTCGAGTTCGCGAAAGGTTCAGTCTCGTTTTCGTTGCTTTGTCTCGCGGCTGTCCGACGCTGGCCATTTTTGGCTGCGAGGCGTTGTGACGCGCAACTGAGCGGGGACCGAGTGGAAGCGAGGCGTAAGGCTCTGCGGGGCCGTAACAAATGATGACTAGTTCAAGTATTTTTTGCAACGATTTCGCATTTTATAAATCATTGTGGTGCAAACAGCGGCATAGCCACTATCGTGCAGCTGACCATTCTACAACGTTTGTTTGTTTGTCGCTTATTTTCGATTATGGACGTGAAGTAGCAAATGATATGATGAGTGGATTGGCGCGAAAGCGGAACGCTTAAACTCGAGCGTCGCTTCAAACTACAATATAATATAGCCACCACCGCCCTGGAACCCACGGCCCACCGCCCACTCGCCAGAGTGATCAACTGCGAGCCAGATTGATCAACTGCGACGGGCCGGGCGCCCGCCCCGCTCCGCTTCACACACACAGCCGTCTTTCGGCTGGCGGCGGACGCCCGGCTCGGTAACGGCACTCAGCCACCCGTTTGCCGCCTGCACTCGCTTGAAGTTTTTAGGCGAATCGTGTGGTTTCAAAAAGAAACGCTTGGAAAATATTTGTTTTAATTTTGTAAACCGTTACCTCTGAGACAGATACTGAGTTGCTCGCTGTGAGTGAGCTCAGAAAAGTTTGGAATGATACGATCTGTTTTACAGATCGTATCATTCCAAGATCGTACGAAAATGGTGCGATCGTATCAATTGTACCATTTTCAGTGCTATGTTTTACATAGCACTGAAATTCTGATTACATGATAACGAGCACAGTTCAATACGAATTGTTAATGGTCTCCATATGGATTGCCACATGAGCCAGAGAGACTAGGTGTAGTTGGATTTTGCATTTCAAACGTGTGAGCATTAAGGTCCGGAACTCCCAATCTCAGCCTATCATTTAGGATGCTACCAAGCCTGGATCCAAATCTGTGATACGATGAAGGCGCAGCCACACCTCAGTGCTGGTATATTTCCCGTTTGAAGAAGCGAGACGACTGGAGAGATGACACCTCAAGTGGGACTCAGTTTCATCTTCTCGTGGCTGATGGGATATGGGAGATAGAATGCCGAGATACTGTCCAGTGCCAATGTGAGTGTCATCGCATTTCGTAGTGAGCGTCCTGTTGCAAGTGCTCGTGTGTCAGGTGGAAGTGCAGTGACGCTTGTCGGCAGCTGATATTGGTTGTGGATGGGGGTGTGGAACAGCGTCAGTTTGTGTATGCATCTTCGTGGCTTGAGAGTGTCGAACATCGAACCAGTGGAAACGTGGTTATGCTGTGTTTAGATTGCTCTTTGTCATATACTGTACGCATATCAAGCTTTCAGCAAGCCCCAGTGAGCATGGGCGGGAGCGTGGGAGTTGGTAAAGCGACGGAAGCTTAATCCTAACAGCGTCCTGAGAATTTAGCATAAGCCCTGTAAACTTTGACTGAAGATGAATAAGCTAGATTGCAAATTCCCCCCCCCCCCCGCCCCGCCTCTAACTTGGGGAGTACTTCTCTTATGAGCGGGAGCGATCTTGGTAATGCAAACTGCATCTTGAAGTGTAAGCTTCAGCAGGGTAATTAGGGGCTGAAAACACCACGCAAGCCTTATCTTGATAGGAGATAGCGCCAACTCACTAACGAGTCCGGAAGGCTGACAACTGCCGTATCCACAGAAATTGCATGCGAGGCGATACGAGTAGCAGAAATTAGTTGGCTGAAGTCGAACGTTTTTATCTGTCGAGAGGCCTGCGCTCTGTCCCGCCTCGCACGCAAACAGCAATGTAGGGCGATTTACGGTGTCCAGTTGGGTAGAAAGCAAGGCGACTTTTCAGTTCCGTTCGGTTTCGTATCGTATTACGTCGCATCGCAACACTACGCAGCGACAGGCAGCCAGCGTGGGGCGGTCTTCGCCGATGTCGCGCGCGCCCTGGCCGGGATAGCGAGTGTGCCGTGCTACGTCAAAGTAGTGCGGCACAGCCTACCTGCAGCCCACAGGCGGCTGCACTGGGAGCTGCTCAGCAGGTGGCGCCACCTCGCCCCGTGCACGGAAGAGCAATCGCGAGCTAACTATGCAGATTTCCTGAGGGATACCGGGCCTGATGAGCCAGTCATGCGCAGCGGGCGTGGGTCCCATTTAAGAACTTCCACGCACAAGCAAGCAGTTATTTTCCGAAACATCTGAACAAGATGTGATTAGGCCCGCGAATTAGGTGCTACATAACGAAATATTTATTTTTTAATGTCTATGCACCAATCAGCTTTGCGCAGAGTGCAAACATGCTGAACATACCATGCTTATGTTATCAAGTCACTGCGTGTTGAAGTTGGCCATAAATCGGGTCCTACGTCAATGCAGGTGGTGTGGCCAGCTTTGATGCCGGCGGTAATCGGTCCGTGTTTCCTCAGTTTTAGTTTGCGAGGTCCTTAGAGAATAAATTCACTCGCCTGTTGCTTTGCGTGATGATGAGCGGCGATTAATGGCTGCACACGGGTGTACCGGCAAACAAGCAGAGCTGTTGTGGAATTTTACTATGCGCTTCTCAAACACAAGGGAGGATCATCGCAAGCCATGCATAAACAACCCTCCCCACATGAGCATGTTGCAAGAGTATCGGTCAGCCCTCGCTCTCGCCATCTGCACACTTACTGCCCGAGCAGGCCGCCCACATCCTACCCCAGATGTTTTGAGTCACTGTATTGCGTGCTGAACATTTTGAACATTTCACAACCATGGTGGCTTAGTGTAGTAAGCATGTGTGT